AAACCTTTGATTATATATAATATGGATTGAGCTAACTGAATATATCTACTAACAAAAATGTGGCTCAAGGTGAATAGACGCAGATGGAAAGCGATAATGTGAAAGTGTAACAAAGATAGACATAAAACGGTACTAAACAGACGGGCGCATGCGCACAAAAGTGTCAAACCTCTTCCATTTGACGTTTATCGTTTTGTTGTGTCACAGCCAGTCACACCGTTATGTTTAAAAATGTATTGTTTCGTGTACAAAGTTCGCGATAATACAGTTTCACATCACCTGTAAGTATTATAAAATTGATAGTTTTTTATCTTATAAATTAACGCACGCCCATTATATGTCAGTACGCTTTTATGTCTATCTCGGTTCGATCACCTTGCGCAGGCTATCTCTCTCGTTGGCTCAATCCATATTATATATAATCAAAGTGCGCAGTATGGTTGCGTACGAACCATTGAGTTCTTATATATAATCTAGAAAGCGTATGTGGTGGTGGTGGGGGTAATCAGAAAGTCAGACATGTTGGATGTACCGACCTGAACTTAGCTATAGTTTCAAGTCTCTATTGTACCTACAATTATAACCTCACAATTCTCATAAACATATTNATTGCTACTAAAAAAACATTCTGCGATAATTTCATTTTCCACGAGTATTTCGCTGACAATCTCCTGTTCGTCCATTTCAAATATTATACACTTTTTTTATAAAAATCTGTTCGTTGGGACCACGGTTTATACACTTTTCTAACCTGCACTAAGTTGACATGACATTGCATTGACTTACACTTCATTGCACTATGACGTCATACGAGTGCCATGTCGTGCAGAGTTAAGTAGTGCAGTCCCAACGAACAAAGCTATACTGTTCGTTGGGCCATGCGTAGTGTAACTTCGTGCAGCCGGTGCAAGTTAGTGCAGATTTTGTTGCAGCTACTTTCGATTAAGTTCAATTAGTGCAGTGTAACGAAAATGGCGGAATATTTGAAAGCGTGTTTTGTAATAATTAATATTCATATTAAATATTAAAAAATAAAACCTAATAATAATTAATATTTGTTGTATTAGAGAACACAGTACATTCAACCCCAGTAGAGGCAGTAGAAAATGGACAAGATAGTAGAAAGATAAATGGACAACAGACTATAAATAAGATATTAATTTGTTTCTTTTTTTAGGGTTATTATAAATTATTAGGCAAAGGAAGAATTGCAAATCAGCCCGTCATTAGCTTTGTTTGGTATCTTGCACTAACGTACACCAGTGCACACTTTTTCTTAAAAATAGTGTTTGGTAGACTGGTGCAAACAAGTGTAGATAGTGCCGCCGCGTTTGGTAAGCGATTGAGTTTTAAAAGTGCAGACACTTTTCACACCGACTCGCCGGCAAGTGTAGGAAGTGTAGTGTAAGTCGACATAACCTTTAAGACGTATTTAGTTTTTTGAAAGTGTCAAAGTTAGATTTATTTAAACAAAAATAAAATATTGTAAGCTAGTAAAAACAATAAATAACAGTTTGATTTGTAGAAAACGTTCTATTCAATTAAAATTAAAAACCCAATAGGAAGTTCTCCGGTTAAATATAATGGCTAAAATTGAAAGACAGTTAAATGTAAAAATAATTTATGATGAAGGGGGAAAACTACAGGCAACATTTCCTTTTTTGATTTATTCATCTTGATTCTTTGATCAATAATAAATTATTCAACTTCCTACAGAAATAATAAAGATTACATAACCTATAACTGTCATAACAATCCGTTTTACCAAACACCTAAAATTGTTACA